TTTTTTAATATTTATTTTTTAGTTTTCGGCGGACATAACATCTTTATTTGTATGTGGTGCTGAGGATGGAACCCGGGGTGCATGCATGCCAGGCAAGCGTGCTACAGCTTGAGCCACATCTCCAGCCCATAAATTATATTCTTTATATGCTTATATTCAAGGCCAATTACTTTTTACTAATCAAGTAGGAACCTGATTAGTGCTATCGAGCAAATGAAGGTGTTTGTAGAGACTGACTCTGTTACATGAAATCCAAACATTCTTCTGGAAATGAAAATGTACTCTGGTTTACTGAAGCTTATAAGCAAGGCAAACACCCTATTTCAAACCAGCCTTGAGAAGAGAAGAATAGCCTGGTGCAATATCAAATGCCTGTAATCCCAGTGACCTGGGAGGCTGAGGCAGGAGGATTGGGAGTTCAAAGCCAGCCTCAGCAACTTAGTGAGGCCTTAAGCAACTCAGAAAGACTCTGTCTCTAAATAAAATATGAAAAAGGGCTGGGATGTGGCTCAGTGGTTAAGTGCCCCTGGGTTCAATCCCTGATACAAAAAAAAGCATAAATAAAGAGTAATAGTTTATTCCACAATAGTGTGGATAGACTTGGGTTAAAATCTAAAATCTTTTGTGGAAAAGGCACTTATGCATTTTCCCTAATTAGGAAGAGATATTGCTTTTTCTTTTTTATTCTTTCCCAGGTCTTTGAGTTTGTCTCTAGAATGTGGGAAGTTTCTGGCTACACACTTTGAATTGGTACACCTGAATCAATCTCTGGGCGATCCTGTGGAGAATGGCAGTCAGTGCATGTTTCAAACCTTCCTACTGGGGGATAAAGACTAGAGAGCATATAAATCTCTAAGCTTGTCTTTCATCTATTTTTCTGTTAAATCTCATTGGTGCTATTATCCTCTCCTTCTGTCACTTTCACCCTGTATTCTTTGTTTTCCTTTTCATCCTTTCATTTACTCAGCAAATATTTATCAAATTCCCACTATGTGATAAGGCCTTTGAGCAAGATAAATACAACCCCTGCCCTCAGTCTATTGGGGAAGATGTCTTAATTTCCACCACAAACGTTCTTACTTGTCACTAAAAAAATAGCCCATAGCTTCCATTGAGTTCAGAATCAATGGGGGAAGTGGTAACTCAGGTGTTCCAAAACAAGATGTTCTAGTTGCTTCTCATCTATTCACCACTTCAGAACTACTAGAGACTTCTGATATAATTGGGGAGATGAGAGAGATACAGCAGGAAATGTCTTATCACTATTTCAAGAGTGATAGATTTTCATAAGAATATTTTCTTCTTCATAAAGAAGTAATCAGGTTTAAAAGGCTATTGTTTTCCAACAGGTCTCATGACACAACAAAGGCACTTTCTTGAAAAAACAGAATTTGAGACCCCAATTATAGAGCTGAATGCCTTGAAAAAAGAATGCTTGGGGCTGGGGCTCAGTGGTAGAGTGCTTGCCTAGCATTTGAAAGGCACTTGGTTCAATCCTCAGCACCACATAAAAATAAATTGTGTCCATCTACAACTAAAAATATATTTTTTCTACCCCTACAGCTAAAAATAAAAAACAAAACAAAAAACCCAAAACAGGGCTTTTGGGAACCTTCACCTTTTTCTCTGAATAAAACATTTCCTCAAATCTATTTTTTTTTTTTTTGGATTAAGCCTAGGGGCGAGTCACCTCCCCAGCCACGTGTGTGTGTGTGTGTGTGTGTGTGTGTGTGTGTGTGTGTGTGTATCTAGAGACAGAGTCTCACAAAGTTGCTTAAGTCTTTGCTAAATTGCTGAGTCTGTCTTTGAACTCATGATCCTCCTGCCTCAGCCTCCAATGCAGGCCTGTTCTTAAGCAGACAAAACAATTTCCTGTTTTCCAAGAAGTACTTCTGAAATGGTGTTGTTAGGTTAGTAGATTAGACCAAATAGAAATGGACTTAGACTCACATAATTTGTAGAAGGTCTGACCAATCCTTTTTTTTAATATTTATTTTTAACTGTAGTTGGACACAATACCTTTATTTTATTTATTTATTTTTATGTGGTGCTGAGGATCGAACCCAGGGCCTCGCACATGCTAGGCAAGCTCTCTACCGCTGAGCTGCAAGTCCAGCCCCATGACCAATCCTTTGACTCACCAGAAATTAGCAGAAGAGAGTAAAAAGCAAAAAGTAGCATAACCTCCCCAAATTTCCCTCCTTGTTACAACCTCCCTTCCCAGGACAGCTTTAGTTAAGTTCCCATGATGCTTTACACCTGCAGGTGTTTGGAGGCCATGATTAAGTACCTCACACTGTGGAAGAAAGAGGGGCAGGAGGAGCCGTATGTCAGCCTCACCAGAAAGAAGATGCTAATAGATGGCGAGGAGGTGCTGATAGAATGGGAGGTGGGCCACTCCATCCGGACCCTGGCTATGCATCGCAATGCCTACAAACGTATGTCACAGATCCAAGCCTTCCTGGGCTCAGTGCCCCAGCTGACCTATCAGCTCTATGTGACCCTGATCTCTGCAGAGGTCCCCCTGGGTAGAGGTGAGTGGGGTCAGGAGAGGGGGGGGATCCACTTAAATCAAGGGTCTTAGAAGTTTAGCCTTGAGCTGTCCAATATACTGGCCACTAGCTTCATGTGACAATTTCAATGAGAATTAAATAAGATTAGAAATATACTGGTTCAGTAATACTGGCCACATTTCAAGTTTTCAATAGCCATGTAGGTTAGTGACTATTGTTTTGAATGGCACAGATTTAGAATATTTCCATTATCACAGAAAATTCTGAAAAGCACTAGTAGTTAAAAAAAATTAGGGAGTCAGGCATCTTAGGCCTGCCTGATTTTTAAGTTGGAGCAAACTATTTAGATTAAAAATGTTACAGATAAACCCTACCTGGCCTCAAAAGAAGCTAGTAACACCAACAGTCAGTAGGATATTTTCCCTTGTTCAGAGTGTTTAAATTATGATGTTAGTTGTTTTGTTTGTTTAGGGATGGCCATCTTTAGGAAGAGGTTCCCAAATATTACTGATCATCAGAATCATGTGGTAAGGTTCTTTTTAAAATCACATTTCCTCCCCAGATCTGAATTAATCCCAGAATGTGGGGAGGTAAGGAATCTGCATTTTTATGAAGTACCTTAATTGATTCTGAGCAGCCTGATTTGGGAACCACTAATTTAATCATTTTCTCCCAATGTCAGTGAAGAGAAAGCAAAAGGGTATGGGATGAATACTGAGGAGAATCAGACCTAGTTCAAGTTCTGACCCTTGCTGTAATCTTTGGAGGAAGTTATAAAGCAGTCACTGTCTTAATTTTTCACTTGTAAAAAAATGGATCCTGAGATGAGTAAGACCTCCAGCAGAGGATGAAATGTGAGTCAGTGTTTTCAAAGTCAAGATAAAGTGCTGTTAATGAGTTTTAACAGCCTGTGATTTGCTTCATCTGCTTGGACAGAAGCTGGTATGGGTGTGGGTGCAGCTTTGGATCATTTTTTTTATTATTTTGTGTTGATTCCGCTTGGCAAAGTCCCCTGTCTCAAATGCAGGGAGAACTAATTCCACTGAGAACATTTCATAAAGTTCTATTGGTTCTGAAGCTTTTCATGTACATAGAATTGACAGTAGTTTCAGGGAAATGATGATGGTTTTCCTCTTGAGAATTTTGAGGGTCATGAAATCTTCCAATTAAGATACATACATACACTACAAAAGTAATACATGTGCAAAGTGATTGACCTATAGACAATTGTATATACACAGGAATTTTCCAGAAAGCTATGACAGATATTACCTCTGAAGAGTGGGAATGACAAATTAGCAGACTTTTATTTTTACTTCAGTATGGCTTGAAATTTTTGCCAAGATCATGTACTATTATTTTTAGTCATTTTTTAAATTATAAAAATAGGACTAGCTATAGTAAAAATTCAAAATAAACAATAGATATAAAAAAGGAAATGTAAATTCACTCCCCCAAAATAATCTGTTAGCCATTCAGTATGTATCATTCCAGATTTTTTACTATGTAAATATAAACATACAACATATATGTACATGTTTTGCCAAAAATGGAATGTATTAAACATGTTTTTCAGTGATATCATCCTCAAAACTATGCTATTTTTCAATAGTTATTTATACATACATGTATAAGTATATAGAATATATTTATCTTGTATGAATTGGAACATTCTTTTTCATTTCCCTAATTTTCTAAAGTTTCTAATTTTTCACAATTTTTTTCCAATTACAAATTATGCTACAGTTAACATCTTTATAAACATCTATGTATGTGAATTAAACTTTGTACAACAAATATATGGTATTAGAATTTCTAGATGAAAGAAAATGTGTGTTTAGAATTTTATTGATGTTGCCAAATAACTCTCTGAAAAGGGGTTTATGAATTTATACTCCCATTCACAGTATATAAAAGTAGCTGTTTCCTCATATCTCAAACTAAATATTTATTTTTATAATTATAAGTAACTGGCTTTTAAAATAATTGGTTTTCTTTGTGGCTATAGCTAAGTATCTTTTACATTTGGTCATTGTATGTGTTCTTTGAATTGCTAATTACATATTTTGCTCACTTTTTCTAGTGGATTGTTTATCTTTCAAATTAATTTGTAGGAGCTATTTACTTATTCTAGCATTAATTCTTTTTTTTGCTATGCACACAAACATGTGCATACATGTTTGTATATTTTTGTGTTTAAAATACACACATTTTCTATGTGCATATACGTATCACACATGTGCAATACCCTACACTTAATGTGCACAATATACTTTGCTATGTCTTCTGGTATTGTGAATTATTACATTTTTATGTATTCAAATTCTTTATTGCTTATAGATTTTGTGTCTTTCTTACAAGAAAGGCCTTTCAGAGTCTTAGCTGATAGAGTAATTTACTCATTTTCCAAATATATTAGTGTCTAATATAAATTTGTCAATTTCCCCACCAAAGAATAAAGCAAAGCAAAGTAATAACCAAAAAATCACATTTCATGGAGATTCTGATTGAAATTGCAGTAAATTATTCAAGTTATGGGATGTTCACAGGATCAATCAAATTCATATAGGAAGATGATAAATCTCCATTTCATTAAATGTTTTAACATGTACTTCAGTAAAATTATGTAGTTTTCTCACCATAAGTCTTGAACTTTAAAAAAATTTTATTAATTTATTTTTATTATTTTCATTATCAGTGGACCTTTGTTTTATTTATTTATATGCAGTGCTGAGTATCGAACCCAGTGCCTCACACATGCTAGGCAAACACTACGCCACTGAGGCACAACTCCAGCCCAGGTCTTGAACATTTTAGAGCTTATTTCTAGGTGTTCTTTCAGTTTTAAAATATTAGTTTTTTTAACTTTTATTTATTTTTATGTAGTGTTGAGGATCGAACTCAGTGCCTCATACATGCAAGGCAAGCGCTCTACCACTGAGTTCCAACCCCACCCCTTAAATGCTAGATTTAAGTGCAAGGACAGAGCACTGGTAAAGTAAATGTACATACTATAAATTTTAAATGGTGGGGGGTGGGGGTGGAGAGAGTAGAAAGACAGAAATTAGCAGATAGCTTTTATTAGGTTTCAGGCATTTCTCCAAGCAATTTACATGTAATTATTTCATTTCATCTTCAAAACAGTTCTTCAAGGTTATTATTAACCCCTTCTTATGAATGAGGAAACAGACTCTGAGAGGTTAAGAAAATTCCCCAAGGTCTTATAAGTAGTAAATGGCAAAGACTGGATGGAAATTCAGGATGTGTGCCTCCAGAGCCTATGTTTCTAACTATAGCAGCCTTTTGATCTCTTATGGCATGAATCTATTTGTAGGGAGACATATGGAAAATGTTTTCCATTTATTGGAAGCATCAGGTTTTCTTCCTTCTATTGTACTACTTTCAAGAAATGAGTTCTAATTTAAGAGAAGGCATCAGACACTTGACACTTGGCTCAATGTATAGCTGATGTTCCCATGTCCACAAAGAGTATCATTTCCTGAGGATAGGAATGAGAGTGGTTTAGAAATACAAAAGTACTAGGTTGGGCTCAGTGGCACATATCTGTAATCCCGGCAGTTTGGGTGGCTGGGGCAGGAGGAGCGCAAGTGTGAAGCCAGCCTCAGCAATTCAGTGAGGCCCTGAGCAACTTAGTAAGACCCTGTCTCAATATAAAATATAAAAGGGGGCAATGTGGCTCAGTGGTTAATCTCCAGTACAAAAAAAAAAAGAAGAAATTTAAGAGTAGCCACTTCGAGAGTCTCCCACTCTATTCTTTAAGATTCCAACACTACTTATTAGCTGAAGAAAATTCTTAGAAATGAGAGCTGTATTTTCTTTTGTATTTTCATGGGGAAGGCTTCACTTTTCTTGAAGATTAACTTGATATACTATAGCTCAAGTTTCTCTGGATCCATTATTTTTATAGGAAGAGAAAACTACAGATTTTCTTTTGGGGGAATACTCCTTACACCTTCCACTTTTCTTGAGAGCACTAAATCCCACCCCTCGCCCGTGCACCCCAGTAATCAGTATACTTTAACAACAACAAAAAAATAAGCAAAGGGCCACCTGTATGGTCTATAGTTAAGGAAGGTTAGGGAGCATTCTGCCTTTCTTGGCCCCTACTTTAACACCTAGTGTTATGGATGCCATGGACTGGGAAACAGAGTTTTAATGTTTTTGAACCACTCTACTGGAAGTTCAGAGATTCCTAATGTGTACTAACAAATAGGAGTGATGAATTGGCATTACTGATGACAAATACAAGCAACTCTAGACTATCTCATGAATTGGGAAACTGAGGCACATAGATATTCAATGATTTCACAAGCTCATACACAGCTGAACCAAGGACTTCTAGGTATTTTATGCTGCTTCTCTAAACTCAAAATTCTTCATTAATTCCACACACATTTATTGTGCATCAACCATGTTCTAGTCAGTATGTTAGGCTCTGAGGATACAGCAGTGGGTAAAATAGATATGATCTCCTCTGCCCTCATGAAATATTTAGTATACTTTTTGACACATGCAACTGGAGTTAAATATTCTAGAAGCCCGCACAAAGAAGATTTGCTCCTTGAAGAAAATATACATCAAAGAAGGGACTTCAATTAGAAAATACATTCTCTGAGTCTCCTAAGCTTGGATTTTTTTTTTCAGAAAGTTTATTTATTTATTTATTTCCCTCATACAGTTTTTGCTCAGAAGCCTGCTCTGTTAGGTAGTCCTACCTGGAACCTTTATATGTCCTTTTCTTATATTAGTGACTTCTTAGTGTTTTAAGACCTACCCTTTTTTAAAAAAGCTTAGTTTGTACATTTATGATTATTAATGTATTACAGTATATGTTTATACTGAGCTATACTCCCAGCCCTCACTTTGATTTTTTTTTTTATTGGTTGTTCAAAACATTACAGAGCTCAAGACATATCATCTTTCATACCTTCGACTCAATTGGGTTTTGAACTCCCCAAATACATAATGCAGACTCACTTCTGTTACATACTCACATTTTTACATAATGGCATATTAGTGACTGTTGTATTCTGCTACCTTTCCTATCCCCTACTATCCCCCCTCCCCTCCCCTCCCCTCCCAACATCCCTCTCTACCTCCTCTGCTGTTGTTCCCTCACTTTGATTTTGATTTGATTTTCCCTGATGATTAGTGATATTGAACACCTTTTCATGTATCTCTTGGCCATTTGGTCTTCTTTGCAAACATGTCTATTCAGGTGCATGTTATTTGTTTGCATAGCTGTTATCATACATGAATTTACTCTTAGGTGAGGCTCTGAAGTCCTACCTATCATCTCTGGACCTCTGGGTCTGAGTACAGGTTTTATACCAACATTAACTGCTTGCCTCTCTCCCCCTCCCCCATTCCTTGTTTTGTTTTGTTTTTACAGCTGTGCTAATGGTCTTTTCCCTGATGTCTGTAACCTATGGGGCTACCCTCTGCAATATGTTGGCTATCCAGATCAAGTATGATGACTACAAGATTCGCCTTGGGCCACTAGAAGTCCTTTGCATCACCATCTGGAGGACGTTGGAAATCACTTCCCGCCTCATGATTCTGGTGCTCTTCTCAGCTACCTTGAAGTTGAAGGCTGTGCCCTTCTTAGTGCTCAACTTCCTGATTATCCTTTTTGAGCCTTGGGTTAGGTTCTGGAGGAGTGGTGCCCAGATGCCCAATAATATTGAGAAAAATTTCAGCCGTGTTGGCACCCTGGTGGTGCTGATTTCAGTCACCATCCTCTATGCTGGCATTAACTTCTCTTGCTGGTCAGCTTTGCAGTTGAGGTTGGCAGACAGAGATCTTGTTGACAAAGGTCAAAACTGGGGACATATGGGCCTGCACTATAGTGCGAGGTTGGTAGAGAATGTGATCATGGTCTTGGTTTTTAAGTTTTGGGGAGTCAAAGTATTGCTGAATTACTGTCATTCCTTGATTGCCCTGCAGCTTATTATTGCTTATCTGATTTCCATTGGTTTCATGCTACTTTTCTTCCAGTACTTGCACCCATTGCGCTCACTCTTCACTCATAACGTAGTAGACTACCTCCACTGTGTCTGCTGCCATCGGCACCATCAGCGAAGGGCTGAGAACTCAGAGCCAAGCTTTGAGGCTGAAACAAGACAAAGCATTGTCTGATTCTATCATCTGAGTATCATGGGATGGTTTGGGGGTTGCCAAGATCAACTCTGAAATTGAAGGAGAGGGTGAGGCTCATGGATGAGTACTCAACAGAACATTTTCTTGAGTATTCTGGTAAGTCTATCAGAAGAGTGACCCCCAAATAGGTTTTACTTCTTGGAGATTTACTGCTATGTTTGGAAACCAGGAGTGGAACAGTCAGAAATATTGTTCACGCCCCTTCTACCCAGGTCAGTTGAGATAACTGACCTCTAAGCACCTTAGGCTCTCTGTGACTTTGCAGGTCTGTTTGTTTGCTTGGGGCAAAAGAGTTTGCCCAAAAGGTGCTGAAGACTCAGAATCTCACTAGAATATATCCTGCTAAACAGAATATGTGGCAGCTTACTAGATATGGGTATCTCTCAGGAAACCCTCTGACTATTGTGGAACCTACAGATATGAGTGTGACTAGATTCTTTTAACTCCAATGAGAAGCTCTGACCAAGAAGAAAAGAGCCCCACCATTAAAAGAGCTGCTCCCCAGATGTATTAGATCTCTATTAGGATTTTACTAATGGCTATTCACAGGTCATTTGCAGTGGTCTTTCATAGGTACACCTTGAGGAGGGAGTGCAGGGTAGGGTTCCTTCAGGGTGTAAGCCAGAATGACTCTTTTCTTAGGAACCTGCATGGGCATCCAGTTGTCAAGTGGAATGGTTACTTATTGCCTCATTAACAGGGATTCCCTCTAACCCAGCTATTCTGTGCTCTTGTCATTTTACTATTTGATGTAGGCCTCAGGGAATCTGAAATGTAATTGAAACTGTTTCTGTATATGAAAGAAATGAAGACTTCTTTGTGTCTGCTACTGTCCTGGGTATTTCATTGATCTGTGGTTTGCTTTTTAGGACAGGAGAAAGAGAAAGTAATAATGGCTGTGTTATCACCCTCATGTTGCTTGGGGTTGGGATGGGTGGCTAATACTTCAAAGTAGCGTGAACATAGAGAGGGGAAACCAGATAACATTAAATTACCACAGGTACTTGTTTTTGTTTGCAGGACTTTACTTTATAACAAGTAATATGGGTTTCTCAAACCCTCTGACCATTCTCAGAACCAGTGAATGAATTCATACCTCCTTTTTTCATGTACCTCAATGTTTACCTTTCATGTTTAATCTCATGGTGGGAATGTAAGCTGGATGCCTCTAAAGTAACCAAGGAATTGAGGTTACTATGACCACTTCCTATTGTGACTAAGTATTCCAATAATTACCTAAGGAATGTTTTTCCTCCACAGACCAGGAAAGTGAGTAGTCCTCCTAGTACTGTGTATAGTTGTGGCCACTCCCAATGCTTCAATAATTTATAAACAATCTGACCTAAACTTTTCCATCCCTATCCACTTTTACTCTTGGGATTATGCTAAGAAATTTATCTTTGTAAAGGGAAGACCAGTAATGTAGAAGAAAGAGATCCAGAGGTAGAGTGGAGGGATGGGAAAGGGGAGGCAATGCAGAATGAATTCTTTAAAAATCATGTTATGTGCATATATGAATATACTACAGGGAATTTCACCTGTATATATAAGTAAAAAGAACCAGTCAAGTATAAATAGATGAGTGTAAGGAAGTCTAATAGAGTAGAGAAAGAAGAACAAGGGAGGGGAGGGAGGGAAGGAGGGAAAGGGAAGGATCATGAACTGAATTTGAATTCTGTGCATGGTTTGTTGGGATGAATCCAACTACTATGTGTAACTATAAAGCTCTATTTTTTAAGAAGAAGTTAAAAATAATTTTTTGTGTGTCATTTCCCCTCCTATTTATTTATTTATTTATTTGGTACCAGGGATTGAACTCAGGGACACTTGACTACTGAGCCACATCCTCAGCCCTATTTTGATTAGAGATAGGGTCTCACCGAGTTGCTTAGCACCTCGCCATTGCTGAGGCTGGCTTTGAACTTGGGATCCTCCTATCTCAGCCTCCTGAGCCTCTGGGATTACAGGCATGTGCCACCATGCCAGCTATGTTTTTCATATTTTTATTTGTGCATTATAGTTGTACATAATGGTGGGATTTGTTGTTATATATTCATGCATGCATATAACAATTTCCCCTCTTCTTATCCAGTGTCAGGGCATTCTATATATTGAGGGAGCTTCCTCTTCTAAGTAGCAAGGCTGTTAACCAGAATTATCCTAATTCCTGAAATGGCTAGTGTGGTTTTCCCAACTTCAGCAACTGTTTGGAGTTAAAAGAATTAGCTACTTAATTTGGAGGAGATGTAGGGACTTACTTTGGAGCAACAGAGATTTTCTTTTACAAACCCAGTTCCCTCATTCCATTTTTTCATGATGAAGAGATTAAGCTGATTGTCCTATAAAGCTCACACTGACTTCTGTTATTTGAGGTGAACTTGAAAGAAAGAATCCATCAGATCTCTAGAAGAACACACTGCCTCTTTGGAATTCAAACAAGAATTTTTCCTCAATTGTTAACATGCCCTTGATTTAGAGCAGAACCAGCATGGAACAATAATTTGGTCCATAAAAGCCAAGTGAATCAGATAATTAAGAGGAGGCTACTATGGAAACAGAGAGAAAGATGCACACACATATACACATATGCACACACGGAGTCAGGCAGATCAATTACAGATAAAGAGAAGATGCACAGGGCAGAAAAGTGTTCCTCAGTACTGGACAAAGCAAAATTTTCTCCCCCATGTCCTCCAGCTGCGGTGACTTAATGTGGTAGGAATGTAGAGAGTTTAGGGAGAGGGTGTGGAGTAGCTTCCAACCTGAAAAACCTGCTGTCCTCACCCAAGGAGGAGACTCTAGTGATACATTATGCAAATGGACCCTCAGAACCTCTTATAGGTGGTGGCTTTTCTGTTCCACAGAAATCTTCCAGATACACAGAAGAAGGAATTGTGGAACGTAAGGTGGTGGGCAGGGGAAGTACCACCTTCCGTGGCAAACATGTCTTTAATTGACAAATCTCTTTTTGATCCTCTGAAATCTTACAGCAGCACAGGGGACATGTGTGGGGATAAGTCTTACTGAGTAAAAGAGGAGGTTGAGATGGGGTCAATAAATGGTTTCTGGATAAGGAAGCAGAATCGTGGAAGTCTGAGGAAAGGAACTAGGCTATTGTAACAACACATATTCTCATTATTGGGAATTTGATAGGCTAAATGTGAGTAAAATATCCTGTTAGGGAAATATAAATAAACTAATAGTTGTCAATTTCTTCTTTTTTTTTT